CCATTTGTAAGTCTTGTTATTTTATTAAAGAGGACAGTTTTTTCCTTTAATTTGCTTACTGGTGATAAGAATTACAGCAGATTTTTAGCTTGCTGGTCTGGGAAGCACAGATGGCACTTCACGTAGCTGAGAAGTGGGACTCTGGGGAAAAGAAACTTGACATATGTTTTCCTGGATTTGAGAGAGCTAAGAGAGGTCCAGTGCTTGCCGCGTTTTCTCAAATTTTCCCCAAATTTGCATCATGCATGCATCTGTGTAATGTATTAACAGTGTCACTGTAGCACACATGAAACTTTGTAAAGTGAAAAATGTAGGGCTAGGGACACTGAACAGCAGTGACCTGTCTTCTGGGAATGTTGGGATGTGTCAGCTGCGGGCAAGTATTTTTTAAATAAAAGGGAAAACCGAGTCGAGTGGTTGGGCCAGTGTCTTGAAGGAGAGGAGCAGGAAAGAACTTGAGAACTACACAGTGTCACATTGTTTTATTACGTTCTGGGTGACCTTCCCCCTAGCAAGCGAATAGGTTAAAAATGTGTTTATATTTGGGATGTTATTTAATGACTTAATTCTTAGTCCATGAAAGAAACCAGCAGATTATGTAGTGTTCTGTGTACTGTGTCGGTTTTGTAGACTGTTCTTGGTTTATGCCTTGAGAAATTATTATGTGTGAAGATTCCAATATCATGAAGGGACTTTATACCTTAAAGCAACTGTTTTATATTTTCTTCTGGTAAGGATAAGCACTTAATATTATTGAAATTTGTTCTTAATTATTATTTGTGCCATTCAAAATGGTGTACTTGTAAAACAAGGTCAAAGTCCTATCTGGTAAGGAAAAACAAGTGTGAGGAAGTCTCTGGCTTTTAGGCTTATTTTGAGGAACAGGGCTTCCAAATCTGTATCTTGTTTGATTAAAGTAGAATATCATTGAACAATTGTATGTCCTCAAATTGGTGGTAGTCAAAGCTTGTTTGAAGGGGAACCTTCTCTACAATATTGAACCACAGAAAGAATCTTGTGCACTTCACTGCAAAACAGCTAATTCTTGAGAGCCTTTCTTCTGTGTGCAGTAGAAGTTAAATGATTTGACTTTGATCTTTGCATATTATGAATTGAGCATATTCCATTTTTTCTTTAGTTCTTAGCAGTAAGGTATCTTAAAAAAAAAAAAACAAACCCAAATAAAACCAAACATTAAAAAATATCTATATAGATAAAATATAGTTAATATATAGGGATAATCTTATACATCTTTTAAAATATATGTATTAAAAAGATTATATTTCCTTCTGTTCCTCTGTGATGTTCTTTTTTTCCATACTTGTTCAAGGAAACTTGCTTAGTATCAGCAACTAACAATGATAACAGACAGATGGATTGATGGGTATAAGAGAAATGAAGTTCAGTTTTTCAGCTAAATAACTGTTTCTCCTTTACAAACCCACATTCTCTCATCTTAAAACTGGAAAACGTGTTTTGAACTTCACTTGGCTTAAAGAAAGAATAATTTTTCATTTGTTTTTCTTTACCAAACATGAAAAAACATTCAGTGTAACATTTTGGCTGATTTTGCTGTTTGTTTGTTTGTTTGAATTGCTTTTGTTGTTTAAATTGATGATTCTTTGGTAATATTTTCCCTAACATAGGCTCAGTCACTTCTCTGCCACCTACTTGAAACTGTAGAACCAGTGCTGGAATAAGGAAATGACTTTGCTACAAAGCTGGTCTGCATGCTTCTGAAATTGCTAATGCTACAGAAGGCAAGATTGTCACACTTAGTAGGGGAGGATGATTTATGCATTTGGAGTAGCAGAATATGATTTAAATTTAATTAAAAAAGTAATAATTGCAGATTCACATATTTGAACACTGACAAGAACTCCTGGGATAACTAGACTGGTAATCAGAGGTAGATTATTGTATGACCGAGGTCCTAATCTGTCTCCTCAGATGATGTGGTTTTGTGAGGGTAACATGATTCCAAAACAAACCAGCTGGTTTCTAGCTTTTAAAAAAGATCATTAGGACCAGCCAATAAAGCATCGGTTGGTTTGCGTTTTGGACAGTATATATCTCTGATCAGTCACACTCAGAAGAGATCAAGTAATTTGGAAAAAAAAGAACTGCTAGTGTGACTATGGTGAAGTTGAACTTGCCTCCTAAAGGGAGAATCAAAGAATTTGGCAAGTAAAGCCTAGGAAGAAATAAGAATAGTCTTTATTGCGTGTGAGGGTGTATGTGGGAGAGAAACAACTGAAATAAAAACATCTGAGGGATAAACTCAATGATAAATCTTGTTTGAAAACCAGAAGGTGAGGTCTAGTCTTACAAAATCAGTAATGGGGAGAAAGAAACTGAGTAGTTCAAGATGACATTTTATATAGTTATGTAAAAAGACTGTGTAAGATGATAATGCTGTTCCTGGAGTCAGAAAATATAAATGAGCATATGTAATTTCTTGGTACTGGAGTAAGAGAAATATCTGAGAGAGAGGATAAATCAGCCAAGGGAAGATTTGATTATTTGTCATAAAATTTTGAATTTTGCAAATTTTGTTCTCCAGGGCTACCACTGGTATCCTGTAGAGATCAGAAAGGAATGTTTGTTTTTTTTATTTTTCTCTTCTTGGTGCATAACTTTTCTTCTTTTGAAGCAGAGGTAATTTGCCATTAACTAAAGGTGGGATTTTGAGTGAGGTGTCTGATTCTTCCTGTGAGAAAAAAATAGCCCTGGCCTGGCGTATGGGTCTAGTGTCTGTGTTCAGAGTTAAATCAGTTTGCCGCAGTGAAATGTGGAAAGAAGGGGGGAAGTGTTTCCTTCTCTCTTTTCCCTGTATTCCTGAGGTGGTGTAGGTATTTTCATCTAACGTTTCTGTAGTTGCAGGCACTTACAGTGTGGCTGGCATCCTTGAATTCTGTTCTCTTGCTGTTGTGCATTCAAGTTTTGTGTCTTTTTAAAATTCAACTTCAATTGCATGAAAAGTGTTGACGAAATGTTTTGGACTTTGTTTTGAATGGGTTCTTATAATGCAGGAGACTGGACTAAACATTCGAGGTGGTATTAAACCCTTTATAATGATGTATTCTTTTGTAAATTGATCAATTTTTCTGAAAATAAAAGGGAGTGACTAGTCCATGTTCACCAAGCAATTCAAAGTCTGAATCAGACATAGAACTAAAATTCCCTGTCTTAGAGATTAATCAACTTGTAAATTTAGTAATAGTTCTTTTAATTACGTGAAATGTAAACATTTCCACTTCATGTTTATTATGAGATAATCTGTCGAAATCTATTTTTTCATACATACGGCTCCCATAATATTCTACGTTCTGCCTGTTATTTGGGTCTCAAATATGGACTTGTAAGAAAATATACAGCATAATGCTTCATATAAAATGAAAAGTAACCATCATTCCAGACTGTACTCTAACGGGTTCGCTGTAGGGCTAGCTCTTGGATGAGGTGGGCTCCATATTCAGTTTTTCTTGGCTTTGACTCAGCTTCAGCTCATCATTTCACTTCTCCATTTTTGTGAAATGGGTAGTGTAACTGATTTGATGAGAGGTACAATAAAAGAACTAGTTTACTTTTTCTGGAAAGCTGAAATCCTGATGTTATTTTTTATACGTGGGTTAACAGTATTGTGTGTGTGTGGTTTTTTTTTTTTTTTTTGTTTGGATTTCTGAGATCCTTTATCACAGGAAACCTATACCCGTTTTATTGAGTGCCACCTTAGCTGAAGTATACCCAAATTATCAATCTCAAATGGAAATGAAAATAGGCTATCGGTTTCTTTCCCCCAGGCATTCCATTTCTGGAAGTTCATGGGCTCTGACCTTGTAGGTGCTGACTGTTTTAGATAATTTATTACATGAAAAAGAAACACAGAATTGAGTCTTATTTATTTATTTATTTTTTTATTTTATTTTTTTTTAAATTTTTTATCACTGTTGCTGCTTTTGAAATTTTTGGAGTTGCCAGTTCGCCTTGTTCATTTAACAGTACAACTGCTGAAGCTTCTATTTGAAATATAAAATCACTTGATTTTCATTAAGAAAATAAGACTAATTTGGCAAAATTCTCATTGCAGTAAAATACAATTATTCTGAAGCATTTATAATTTTCTATTCACTCCTATTCCTGGTACTATTGTTGCTTTAATTGGTTTCCTATTATTTTTGTTCCCCTGTTTTATTCCTTTCCTTGAAGTCAGGTTCACAAATTACCTTTTCCAACATACAATTTATTGCTGTTTCAGAGTCTGATATGTGCAGCTTCTGCCTTTCTGTTAAATGGCCAAGAATCAACACTTAGTTCAGTAGTATACAGCCATTCTGAGTTATTGAGGCCACTGTTATAAAACGATGTAGTAACTCCATGCCTCAAGAACCCAAAAATAAGGTTTTGTTTAAAGCAATCTGCTATGTTATATATGGTCTATTATGTATGTTATGTTATGTACAAACATAAATAAGTGGTGCAAACTTAATTTGCTACATCTGTTTCAAAGGTAGAGCCTATTCTTTTCCACATGGCAGCTATTTCAGTTTGAGGAATTTACTATTTTAATTTTTGGCATTTGGTTTGAGGATCTTGATCCTATAATATTTCTCAGTGTTTTTTTTCCTAAAGCCTCACTATATATATCCCAAGAATGAATCTACTGCTTTTTTTACCCTTGCTTTCTTAATCTGTTTTCACAAACGGCTTGAGGTTCTATACTTAACCTGTGTTGTTTTTTTTCAGCAATGAAGCAGACAGTTTCTATTTTTTTGGACCTCAGTAAATAGAGGTTGTTCATATGTATAAATATTTGTTTTCATAAGAGTTTTGCTACAAGACATGTAATCACAAAACATATAAAAATCTGAGCAATCTTTTTATTAAGAATGTTTGCATGCATCTCTTGAATGCTGCATATAATAGTCAAAGGATGAAAACATGGATAAGTGTAAAAAAGGATAAAAACTAATCATCATCTTTTCCTCTTCTACTTTCAGGGAATTATCTAGGCTTCAAAATGAAAGTGAGGAAGAAGAGTCTCCAAAAGTATTAAATTGAACAATAAGTGTTGCTGGTAAGTTAGTACTTCTCTTCCTCTGTGATGTTGCCTCAACTGGAACAAAAGCTAGATGTAAAGAAACTAAATGAAGACCTGTGCTACTTAAACAGCAACTGAAAACTGCCCTTTTAGTGATAAACCCTTGTCAGCTGGAACAAGCAAACTTTGTGAGAGAGAGGAAAGGTCCTTGGCTTTCATGTCAGATCACTGACAAAATCATACACCTGTTTTCACCTTTCTTTTCTCCTTATACCCATTTCTCTCCCTTCTCCTTTTTGCCTCTCACCTCTAAAAAGAGAAGTTCTTTGATGGATTCATTATGTATCCTCTGTCTTACGTACAAAGCCCTTAGTCTTTGGCAGTATTTTTGGGCCCTTTCATCTATATTGCAGATATTACAAGTATTTCCCATAGATAAGAGGTACTTCTACAGAAGTTGGTCATGGGCCCTATTCCATGAAGTTTCTTTGAGAGTTGTAAGTAACTAAGCTGAATAGTAAGAAGAATAGAAGAGTAGTAATTCTCTTTTTGAGGAGTTGGTTAAAGAATGAAGTGAACTTCACTGAAGCATGAATTCAGATGTGAACTTGGAAACCAAGGGTGTTGTGATGTAATTCTTTTTTGATGCAACTGTAGAAAAGACTGTTACGTACTGTTAATTATGGATAAGGATAAGAAGGTTGTGAAAGTGTCTGGAACTTTCACAAATGAACAAATTAGTCTAACAGCTCAGGCAGATTTGTTGCAGATGAGATACCTTTGCTGTTTACCTACCTTCAGTAATGGTTGTCAAGCTGAAGATGTCTAAAGTACTCTCAATTATTATGATTTATTTATACATTTATAACTCTTGAACGACTTTCTTAGCTTAATAATTTAATGAATGGTTTAAAAAACAAAATGTGGGATTTAAAATTAGGACCACATGGCTAGGACAGAACAAGGAATATGGTGGTAGCTTTCCAGGCATCCAGCTTCCAGTTAGGTTTCTGGAAACTGGGTTAGCTGTTCTAACTGCTTACTGTTGCTAAAGGGGTTTGTTTCTATTTTCTGAATCCTTTTCTCCTCCACATCTGACTCCTGCTGAAACCGGTTAACCAGTTTATCTCACAGCAAAAAGGTGTCTAGTTTTGTTTCTTGGTTGGTGGGTTGGATCAGCTCAGATATGAGTTCAGAAAGCGTTAAAGTGGTGCAAAGGAAGAAATGAGACTGCAGGCAGCAGCAAAGCACATGGGAACATAACTTGTCCTTCTGGGCAGCAGCCAGTCATCGATCTGTCCAGCAGTTTGTGGTAACGCTGCATTAAAGTTGCCAGGCTGGATGTAGACGATTTGACTTTGGAGAAGAACAGATTTCTGTGAGAACTTTAGACTAGAACTGACTAATCTGGCCAGGTCCCTCCCAGCCCTTGCTGTTAGTACGAGTGACCTGTTGATACTGAATAGAAACAATGATTCAGAGGGGAAAAAAAAATCTTAGTAGATAACTAGAAAATCAGTAATTGTCTTCCCCCCTGCCTAGCCCCGTGTGAAGTATGAGTCCTCCAGGCCCTAGAAATGAATGAAAAGTACATATGAAGAACTTGCATGACTTGACCAAACCTTACCTCTTATCAGAATTGGCAGGTCTCCTGTACATGATGTTACATAATACAGCAATTTGTCTGTATCTTAGTTTACGGTTTTGTAAAGTAATTTTCCATTTATGAACTCTGGTTTTGTAGTTTATTGAAAAAGAAAGATAACCAGGAATTTTTTATTACAGTCTAAACCACTTATCTTTTCTTGACATACTGTAAGCTAGATTTAGCTGTGATAGGCTTTTGAAGATAAACTAATATCTGCAAAAGGCCTTTATATTTTGAGTTTTAAGGTTTACTGTAGGGGCACCTAAAATCTTGGATAGATATTCTTTATTTTTACATATCTAAATAGATCAACATATGATTCCTGACGGAAAGGAAAAATATTTTTTCAGAAGAGTATGTTGCTAATCTAACCCTGCCTAACTTTTATCAGCATCAAAGCTTCACCATCTCTCTGGGTTTCTGGAGTATCTACTGTCTTTCTTGCTTATTGCTTTCCCCCTTGCCTGAGGATCAGCAAAGTCTGTTTCTTGTTACAACATTCCACTTCAGTTCACTGTTTTAGTCTGGTAGTCATTTAGTTTGGATCCTTATTTAAAGATGGCGTATTGCTTTATTGGCTCTCTGGAATATATTCTTTACTAAAAATGAGTTCTATATAAGTCAGTTCTGATGCAGGAGCACAAGCAACAGTCTTTCATTTCTTTTTCCTTGTCAAGAAAAGAGGTTACTAATGTATCCACTGACTTGCATGTTTACTGCAGTGAAAAATGATACCAGGGTGAGGGACAGCAGAGAAGTTGGAGGATTGGGTTAGAATTTAACATGAACCAACAAATTAGAACGATCTGGGAAAAATGGGATACAGGCCATTAAGGGTAAGCTTAAAACACTGCATTTAAATTAAAGAAAAATAAAGTAGGCAGATACAGAATACGGAATGGTTGAGAGTTCTGAAGGAAAATATTGATGGTTAAGACCTGACCTTAAGTAAACAGTACTGTGCAGAAAAAAAGGTTCTGAAAATGTAACATCATATGAGGATAAATAAATGGAAACACTGTTGTAAAACACTGTGTAAATCCCTCTGTTCAATTTATGGTTGAAATGGAGTCAGCTAACTCATTGTGTCCAGTTTTGAGCCATGCACTTGGTACATGAGAACAAATCAAAATTACCTTGCCAAATTGGAGAGCCAGGAAGACAGTAGTACTGATGAGAGGATCACTGGATCCAAGACCTATGAGGGGAGGTTTAGAAAAATCGAGAGTGATTTAATACAGAGAGTAAGTGCTGCTATTCTGGATCTTTTGGAACACCGTGCAACCTAATAAGCTTACGTTTTTACCAGTGGAGATTAATGCAGTGTGGCTTGTGAAGCACAGCAATAGTCTGGGAAGAGCATATGTCTGTCTTTGGAAGTTCATAAAAAGTAGTAAGATACATGGCATGTGTGATCTCATCTTAGAGGGAAGGGGTTTCTGATAACCTCATTACATTTCATATTTTAATGTCTAGTTTCTAGCCATGTTTGTTTTTTGTTTCCTTAATAGTCTATCTCTTTTGTGAGTGGAGCATGGGTAGAACAGCTTTTTGCAAAAGATGCCCAGAAGCAGCATAGAATCTCTTTCTGCATATTGCAATAAGTGTTCTATTTCTAAATTTTTTCTAGCTTAAGTATTTTCTTCCAATGGATCAAATAACTTTTGATCTTGAGTGCATCTAATTTTAAACTTAAATAGTCCAAATCTAAACCAGTGACTGTAGATTTGGCAGAATTAGAGATAATGACCTGGTGGATATTATTTGGCTATAAATTAGTAATATTTTTATAGTGCCTGAAAAGTCAAATTTCAAATATCGTTGATAGTCTATACCATTTTAAATGTCTGAGATTAGACTAAACTGAAACTAAGTGTTGACAAATTGTTTAAGGAGACAAGATCAGAGGAAATATCCAGACAAGAAGTCTATTTTGTCTGGAATATGTTTCCTGATTCACAAGTTCCTGCAGTTAAATAGGTGAGGGATTATGTCACAGGTTTTTTTTGTTTTTTTGTTTTTTAATAGGAAATACAGAGAGTTGGTATAGCCAATTCTGATGAAAGTATCTCCAAGTTATGGATTTTTATCTAATGTTATAATTTTAGATAAAATGGTAGACTGGGAGTATGTCTTGCTCACTTTTTGTTGTTTATTAGAAGAAATTGTAGTTGTCATGGAGAGAAGAACAGGATGTGGGTAAATGGCAAGGCTACAGCTACAATTTAGAAATACTGTGCAGTTGTTTTGGCTTTGCTTTTTCTTTAAATGATGTAATCATACTACACTGATAATTCAGTACTTCATATTGTGTCTCTGAATTTTGGATGATGTTAAATGGTGGCTAATAAACACTTCAGAAATTGGCGGAACCTGTTAGCATAGGAAAATCTTAATTGTTTTTGCACTTAGGTCTTGTTTTGGTTGTGTGTTGTGGTTTTTTTTTTTTTTTTTTTTTATTGTGACCCTATTTTGTTCTTGAACAAATGTTGAAATAACCAAGTCTAAAGGAAATGAGAAAAAATAGATGGTTTGCCAGTATGTAGAAAAAAATCCAACTAGGACATAGGAAAATTATAGGGTGATTCACTTGGAATTGATCCTAATGATACTATATTTTAATGAGATTGATTTTTCCCAAAGATATTTGTTGTAACTCATGTTAACTGTATTAAAATTGTCTAATGAATCCCCCAAAACTGTGAGTAAACAGGGAACTTTCAAGCCCTAAGGAAGGTTTCCTTAAGGCTGCATGGCACATGGTTCTTGGTCATTGTCTTTGACTCTTGGGAAGAATGTATTGCTCCTAATAAATCTCTAAAAGTTGTAGTTTTAAAGATTTAGTAATTTTAGTGATCGAAAGAGATCACTAGCCATTAAATTGCTAGGCAAGTTGAACTTACTTGAAGAACTTCTATTTGAATAGAGCCAAATGCATGATCCCAGGTTTGGAGACTAATATTGTAGATTGCACTTACAGGTTAGAAACAGTATTTTTGAGTAAAACAACCCGTTAAAGGTATGTTGTGGAGGTGATATTACTGCTGTATACAGTATTAATGGTCTATGTTGGGTCTATTATGGCTAGGTTGGAGGTCTAGTCTTCAGAAATAATCTTGGGAAGTAGGAAGGGATTTAGGAGAAAGCTGTAAGAATCATTTAGATTCTAGGAAAGTGCATTTAATTTTAGAGATTTAAGCAGCCTATTGAGGTGTTACTTCAGAAGTTTTGAAGATTTGTACTTTATTCCTATATGAAGTAGCATTGGTAAGAGCTGAAAACAGACATGTTTGGTAACTAACTAGTTGAGCAATTTATCTGTAAATCATTCGTTCTCTCTCATTTAATGGGTTTGACTCACATAGATGGCTTTAGTAAAAGTTATGCA